AACAGTTTAAGCATAACAAAATGTGACCAGATTTCAATGAAAATGATTCACTTATGTAAAAGTACATATGACGTTTTGTGAAAAAGCTGTACGTGATGGAGAACAATGGATATTATTTTCGGATTCAGCGTACAGGAACTACTGTAGAACATGTAAACATTTCAAGACAATAAAAACATCACAGACCTGTGTCATCCAACTAACAGTATTTTTTTTTTCCATTGGGAATTGCTTCGAACTCTGACTTCACCAACACAACTTATGTAATGTAGTCTTACGAAAATATGGATTAGAATAATGTCTCCTTTAAAATATTTTATAGGTGAAAATGAATGAGATCTGGAGTACTACTAGCTAACATATTTTAAGCACTATTAGAGCTTTATTAGGATTTTACTCTTCAAAATGTTAAAAAATGATTTTTCTACAATAACGCAAGCCAAAGTTTTATATGCTTCTGTTAATTCTGACATTGAATGTGCAGAGAGTGATAGCTATATCTGAGTGAGTCCCATTCGAAATAGACTTTAAAAATAAATGGTACAAATATTGATTGCTGTTACTAAAAGTATAGTTTTTAGAAAGGACGTCACGATAACCGTGATCAACCGTTATTCGAATCGAATCCTACGGATAACAGGAACGTCATGATAATAGGGATAAACAGTTATGGTTCGAACCGTACCCTACCAATAACATATACGATTTGAATCGAACCCTACAGATAACAGGGAGTTTTTAGTAGGGATGTCACAATTACGGTTCTAGCTAGTTAAAAGTTTCCCAACTGCTAGTCGTGTTTTATTTTAAGCCTAGTATTTTTTATACTGCCGCTAGTGTCATGAGTCACAGTTAGAATGAAGTCGAAGTTCGCTCGCTAGGCTCATACTGCATGCAGCAAATAATGGATAAGAAAGCTTAGACACTTGTTTAGACACAATGTACAAAGCCATCTTCAGAGTTTTAGTTTAGAATTTATTTCATAGATGGTGTTAGAATTGCTCAATTGAAATAAAAAGCTGAGGTAGCTTGATGATGTAAACATGCATCTTTTAATTTAAACGTTCAGCAGTATCTCAAATCTCTTATGTAATCTATAATGGTTGCTCTAAACATAATCACTTATCAATAGAAAAAAATCCCAGCTTAACTGGTATTTGAATGCGAGACTTCCGGGAGGTTCGGGTGCTCTAATCACTGAGGCAATTTAAGCGTTTCCGAGCGAGCATTACCAACAGAAAGTGACTTTTATATATATAGCTACGTTTTAATCGTATTATATTTTTTAAAATAAAAGCATTTTAATGTATTTAAACTCAAAAGGCTAAGTGGCAAGCTGAGGAACACATAGAACTATGCTTGTGTGAAATTTTCATGGTCACTTTCTTTCCATTTTATTTTTATAGGATTCAAGCTAGCTTTCAGAACAACCAAACAATCAAAGCACGTGTTGGTAGAGCTATAGATTTCGTAGCTGGCTGGATTCAAATCTGGACGATAACACAAAATAAACCCCACACTTAAAGTTATGGATGAATAGTAAGAGTGACAGTCAAACTCTTAGCGTGAATAGTGGCTGTTAGGGTTCTTCTCATTGGGTGCCTTCTCTTTAATCAGTATTTACAAGTTAAAGATGGCAGCATAGTCTTATTAGCTTTGTTATAAATAGACAAAATTAATACATTTCAAGTGACCTTCCCCTAAAAGCTCGTTCTCTACTTTAACCTCTCATCTCAGTTTAACCTTTTTATGCTTTAAGCGATATGTCTGAACTATCACAACCAAATAACGTTTAAGTCTTCAGATTAGTGCTTTTTTTAACTTTCAATTTTCAATTTAGTATTTTCTTAACTTTCAAGCTAGGATTGTCATAACCTTTGGTTTTACATTCTTGCCTTGCTATAATTGTTTACCCAGTGGCTCAGCATTAAGATGAGGGCTTATAACGCTAAAAATTGGATTTAAATATCCGCGATGGACAGAGCACAAATAGCCAATTTTGTAACTTCATGTTTAAAAATAAAACAAAAATAGCCAATTTTGTAACTTTATGCTTAAAATAAAAAATAAGACAAAAATAGTAAAGATTATATAAATGAAATTTATAATTGTGAATGCAATTACACTGTCTAGCCACTTTATTGAAAACTAATCTTATTCAAGAGTCGGGACACCATTTGCCCAAATAAAATCCAATATGACGTGACATAGGTGTCTTGAGGGTTTTCCCATTCGGTCATTAATATTGTACGCAATTCGTGGAGCGAGATAAGCAGAGGATAGTGATGGCCTGACGTCTCCGTCATGTCCCTCAAACCAAGCATGAACAGTTTGTGTACTGCGTATGTAAGCATTGTCTTCTTGGAAATAGTTTCCCCATCAGAGTATAAAAAAGCATCATTGGATATACTTGATCAGAAGTGGTGCTAAGGTAAGCTGTGGCGTTCATTCTGCCTTCTAATGGGACCAAAAGAACCAGAAGGGAACACCACCAGAAACTTGAACAGTTGGGACACACAAGAGTTATTATTGCGGTTTTTTCAAAGCTTGTCTTCTCCCGACTATATGTAAAAGGTAAATAATAATTCACTGGAACACATCACTTTTCACAGTTCCTTATTAGTCCAATGGAACACATCACTTTTCACAGTTCCTTATTAGCCCAATGGAACACATCACTTTTCACAGTTCCTTATTAGTCCAATGGAACACATCACTTTTCACAGTTCCTTATTAGCCCAATGGAACACATCACTTTTCACAGTTCCTTATTAGTCCAATGGAACACATCACTTTTCACAGTTCCTTATTAGCCAAATGGAACACATCACTTTTCACAGTTCCTTATTAGCCAAATGGAACACATCACTTTTCACAGTTCCTTATTAGCCCAACGTCTATGCTCTTTACGCCCTTCTTTCTCTCTTTCTATCATTACATGTTTGTAACAACAAATTTCCTCTCGCAGCAAATAATTTATTCATTTATTTTACAGTGCAGATAAACTCGAATATCGATGTCTTGGAACAGCTTATCAATGAAACTGTCTCGGCCACTGTAGCTTCTGATAGACGTACACCCACTGTCATGTATATTTTGAGCGCTGCAATAACTTTGCCTTTCAGCATATCTGTAAATTCTTGTCCCAATGGTTTATAGTGTAGCAGGAATCACCTGACATCATGTGATAAATATAACTTTCATCTGCAGTTCAGGTCAAGTCCAACTCTGAAAGGGTACATAATTTATAATAAAGTAGCCAGCAGAGTATATTGTAATTGTAAAACTAATACTTTTGATATAATGAATTATTTGTAATTATGAAGTAAATTTGGTTTTAGCTGCTGCATGACTTTGTATGATTTTCATAATATAAATATATATATTTTAAAGTATTACAATGACTGAAAAACTTTTATGAAACTGTCCGTAAAAAAGTTGTTTTTCCAAGAGATAATTTATTTGAAAACAAGGAGACTCCATCTACAAGAAAAAATGTGAACAACTACGACAGGAACTGGAAGTTACTAAGAAACGTCTTCAACAGGAACATGAGGAAGAGATTGAGACCCACCTTACTGCCAAAAAAACATTGAATAAAAGGGTAGGTTAGACTAAAAGTAAGCATGGTTCACTTTTATGTTGTCTAGATCACTCTGTTTCTTGATGTAATTATTATTATAAGACTATTTTTAATTTAATAATTGCATGTAAACAATTCCTTAACATGAAAAACATTGGTAATCGTGTTATATTTTAACTTTAACTTGTCATAACTTGTGTTGTTCCTCAAAGGATAAACGTTATTATAGTTCACATGTAGCCATCAACTGTTTTATTCCAATTGAACAGGAGTTATATTTGTAAAAATTAATCAGCGATCTGGAAAGAAAGTTAGAACTCAATGTTTAAAAAGTATTTAGTGCAAAACTATACTTAGAAATGACAAAAACAAATACACTTAAGCCTCCCTAAAGGCAATATAACAAGGATTCTGCACAAAACACGATGCAAATACATATATATATATATATATAAAGGAAACCAGGTTTTCGTTTTAGCGTGTACCAATATTAATATAAATTTATAGTATAAAATTTCCACAAAACCAAAACGGTATATGGATTATTCTACAAAAATAACTTGCCATGATGTAATTCTGGATTAGAATAATTAATACTGAAATATAGTGAAGTTAAACAATGTTTAATAAATGTTAAATTTGGTTGCCCAAGACACACTACAATTGTACCCTTTTACTTTTTACAATTAACATACTTGAAATGAAGGAGACAAATTTTAAAATGTATAGATAAAGTAAAGCAGTTCTAGAAGATTACAGAAAATTCCAGAAGAGCTAGCAATATATTAACAAAATAGTTTAAGGGCATTGCAAATTCTCAGATACTCTAAATCACACATAAGGAGCAAATATTTAATTTTAAGACTGTAGTTTAATAAATTCCTAAATTCGGACTGTATATATTTGTAGTATTACATAAGGAACAAATATTTAATTTTAAGACTGTAGTTTAATAAATTCCTAAATTCGGACTGTATATATTTCTAGTATTACATAAATAACAAATATTTAATTTTAAGACTGTAGTTTAATAAATTCCTAAATTCGGACTGTATATATTTCTAGTATTACATAAATAACAAATATTTAATTTTAAGACTGTAGTTTAATAAATTCCTAAATTCGGATAAGATCTACTACAGTGCTCTTAGGAACCTAGAAACGTATCCTTGCAATCTTCAAGGATCCCCCTTTAACATATCACACATTCCGTTTCCAGCTTAAGGACCCTCATTTTTTAACATGTTAGACATAATAGTTAGAAATGTATGGTGTTAAAAAATATAAATAATTTAATGTAAAATAATCCTTACTCTAATTCTGATAAATAAGAATTGATGAAGCATTACACTTCACCAACTTAATCCAGTTCACACCAAAACAGTTTTTGTGAAATAAATAGCGTCTCAACCACTACTGTGTCCGTTGTATCCCATCCGGCCTGAATAACCTTGGTATTGAGCGAAAGGCCTGGTCGTCACTGAATATAGTGTGGTTGACATATTATCCTACATTCTTCTTTATTTTCATAAGACGTTTTTATTAGTAATAATTCCTGTATACATGGTACTTTGAACAGAGATACCTTGTGAGAACCACCACAGACTAAGACAAACATATTTGGTATTGAGCGAAAGGCCTGGTCGTCACTGAATATAGTGTGGTTGACATATTATCCTACATTCTTCTTTATTTTCATAAGACGTTTTTATTAGTAATAATTCCTAAGTATACATGGTACTTTGAACAGAGATACTTTGTGAGAACCATCACAGACTAAGACAAACATATTTGGTATTGAGAGAAAGGCCTGGTCGTCACTGAATATAGTGTGGTTGACATATTATCCTACATTCTTCTTTATTTTCATAAGACGTTTTTATTAGTAATAATTCCTGTATACATGGTACTTTGAACAGAGATACCTTGTGAGAACCACCACAGACTATGACAAACATATTTGGTATTTCTTTCTTTTGATTCTACAGGGGTCAAAGGTAAAAAAATAAATTGCATTTTATTTAACAGGAAATTCGAAAATTAAAGGCATTGTCTGTACATGTAAACGTTGTTAATAATGTTTTGATTTACACAGTGTGTGAAATTGCATCTATCTTTGTCAAAAATGGGTTTTATTTGTCCAAAACTTACCTGTGTAATTTTATCATCGCGAATAACTCCATTTACACATCAACTGTCTGTCCTTTGTATTGTAAGGACACAGTTAAGTATGCCCCAATATCTCTTTCTCACAAAGAAATCTCAAACTGGTACTGGGCTAAGTGTCTGCCCATCTTGGGCTAAGTGTCTGCCCATCTTGGGCTAAGTGTCTGCCCATCTTGGACTAAGTGTCTGCCCATCTTGGGCTAAGTATTTGCCCATCTTGGGCTAAGTGTCTGAGGTGTATATGTTGTCATTTATGTCCCTTCATCTCCCTGCTTTGAATACAGTTATTTCTTGAAACTTGTGGAACTTGTCGAATAAACTGGATGAGTGAGGGGGAGATATATTGCAGTCGCTTGCAAATGTTGGTATTTATATTGTTTTGTTGTTGTTTTTCACGGGGAGAAGTGATAAAATTCTAAATTTCAAAAGCCAATAATTCTTAGTTTTAAAAGTTCTGTGACTTGGGATTATAAAGATAATAAAAAATAGTTTAATAGGCGTTGATTTCTATATGTGATATTTAAGGAATTTCAAATGTCAGAAAGAAGGATTAAGACTCGAATGGTATTTAAAGTAGAAACAAAATCTCATGATGTTAAATATCCTAAACCACAAACTAAAAAGTTAAGAAAGAACAATCAAACTATAGAAGAATAGCACTCAATTATGATGAACAAAGACAGTAATATAAAAGGAATGGAATTTATTAAGAAACCAAATCTAAATTACATGCCTGTAACGCGAGTGCCAGTCTTCATAAGTATTCTCTTTATGTTCTAAAACTTCTTTCTTATAGGGTTTCATGTAGTTAAGTCTACATATAGTAAAGGTGGATTACTACACGTCTACATATAGTAAAGGTGGATTACTACACGTCTACATATAGTAAAGGTGGATTACTACACGTCTACATATAGTAAAGATGGGTTACTACACGTCTACATATAGTAAAGGTGGATTACTACACGTCTACATATAGTAAAGATGGGTTACTACACGTCTACATATAGTAAAGGTGGATTACTACACGTCTACATATAGTAAAGATGGATTACTAGACGTCTACATATAGTAAAGGTGGATTACTACACGTCTACATATAGTAAAGGTGGATTACTACACGTCTACATATAGTAAAAATGGATTACCACACGTGGATTATTACACACCTTACTATATTAAAGGTGAATTTCCACACACCTTCATATAGCTATGTATCTGAGGCTTGGAGCTGAGCCTAATGTAGCTCTGGTAGCTTAAAGAAATGTCCCCACTTTCGATCATACCAGTCGCATTGACCTGTGGTAGTTTGAGTTATTAAAATGTGTTTTACTATTGGATTATTGCTATTGGTTCTGTAACTTCAAAGTACTCGTTATTTAATGCTATTTTTGATAATGTCATTCACTGTCATCTAATTTTCCAACAGCTTTCTGAAGCACTAGAGAACATAGAAGAGGAGCGACAAATAAGTAAACAATGGCGGAGAAAAGCAACTCAACTCGGACAGGAATTGCAGGAAGTCAAGATTTTATTGCAAGAAGAAGTCGCTCGTATGACTGAGCTAGATAAAAAAGGGAAAAAGTAAGTGTTGAAAATATATTCAGTGCAGTAAGATTAAAGTCAAGGAGAAATTATTAACCTAAAACATCTGTAGGCTTAGGTCATGTCTACTCGGCTGATTATTTAGGCTTAAAAGTAGTGGAACAGGTTGTTTAAAGCTAATCCACTATTTTATTTTAAAATCAGTTTGTCCACTAAATAAGGATTTAATCCTGAAAGTTAGTTTTTTTCCAAATGAAAACTTGTATCTAAACTAAACTAAACAAAGATTTATCCAACTTTCAAAGAGAACATGGCAGTTGATGCCCGAGTAGTAGCAACATTAATTATCAAAGACCGTTCGTTTGGCCAGCTGTTTAAAGAAAGTTGTCTATCAGTAATAGCAATCGAAAGATGATACGTTTGCTGTGAGGAAAAAACTTTGCTTCCAACTGCTGATCGCAGACCTACAAAGACAAACATTTTCAAGTTTACCAATTCTTTCGACAGGATTCAATTATTTCTAACTCGTCCATGCAAGTAACGTTACAAAAACTGTAATACGGCAACCGACAAAATATTCAAAAACCGCATATTTCAGTTGCAAAGAGAAAATCGTGGCTTTAATTATGTAACACAAACTTTGGACAGTGAATTTAAAAAAGCATGAGATATGGTCTAATAAACTGCGTTTCAACCTTGTAAGTGTTATCTGTAGAATTAAAATAAGGGGAAAATACATAACGCAACTAACCTGTCTGTATGTTCAGACAAGGCAAGTTGCTGGGGTGGTGTTATATAATGACCAGTGTTTTGGCATGGATTGGTTCCTTTGACTTCTTAAGAAGAGCAAAAAACATCTAGAGTGTAAATGAATATTGTTTTGAATATCATTTACACCCTAAGATATCCTGTTTCTTTCCTGGTCGGCAAGGACTTCTCCACGATGATAATTCATGAATTACCGAAGAAAAAAGTTGCTTCTTGAGTGCCCCTCAGTGTACTTACAGCGCTAGAAACCAGTTTTGATACCCATTGTGGGCAGAGCACAGATAGCCCATTGTGTAGCTTTGTGCTTAACTACAAACAAAGTTGCTTCTTGAGTGCCCCTCAGTGGACTTACAGCGCTAGAAACCAGGTTTTGATACCCATTGTGGGCAGAGCACAGATAGCCCATTGTGTAGCTTTGTGCTTAACTACAAACAAATCTTCTTGAGTATGGTAGTGACTTCAAAATCAAAATAATCAGACCTCAAAAGGATTTTGTATTTTTAAGATGTCGCATTCGGCACTTGAATCGTCTGCCAACATCTGTGTACCAATTGTATATAGACTCCAATGATCTCAGCGGTGTCAGGACTTATAATGCTAAAAACCGCTAGTTCAATGTTCAGCTTTGTACTTAAAAAGACAACAAAAACAAGATACAATCAAACAAGACACATTTTGGAGAGTTTATTCCAAGATGGCTGTTATCGCAGCGAAAACTGTTGCTATCGATATCAAACGGGAGTCTTCATTAAGTGGCCAGTTAATGTAGTTCTAACAGTAGAATTTGAATTAAATTGACAAAACGTTTTACGTGCAAGTACCAGTAAGAAAATCGTAGTTTTGTCATACCAGTAAGAATTGCTTTTAGAATACTTATTAAGCATGAGACCTCTAAATCCAGACTATCACCAAGATAAGGATTATGATCAGGAATGGTTGTTATGAGGTACTTTTTTCACACTGGTAGCCTAAATGCAAGTAATGTGTTATGTGTCCGTACAAAGAGAAAGGTAAATGTGTAAAAACACTAAAACGTCATGATGTGTAACTCAAGTTGGTAATATACTCAAGTAGTCCAGTTTCTGTGTCAGAATTGTATTCATTTGAGGTGGAGCTGCGTATAGTCATCCCTAAATTTGAACTGATGCACTAGAAGGAAGGCAGCTGTTCAACAGCAGCAATCTCCAACTCTCCAGTTATTCCTGTCTGAGCAAATAGTGAAATTCCACTGTTACTCTTATAGTGCACCCACGGACCCAAAATATTGAGCGAGTTTTTGCGACAACGGAACGCGAACCATGAACCCTTAGTTTATAGTCCGGACACCTAGCCAATAGGCTACACCCGACCTTCTGTGTAATAAAACATTATTTGCTGAAACGTAGATATGACTTAATTTTTAAAGTTTTAATCAAAACACTAAAGACAGATACACCACCAACAACAAAAGGTAATAGAACATCAGACAGTCACAATTACTACTCCCCACCACCACCAACAAAAGTAATAGAACATCAGACAGTCACAATTAATACTCCCCACCAACAACAACAAAATGTAATAGAACATCAGACAGTCACAATTATTACTGCCCACCACCAACAACAAAAGGTAATAGAACATCAGACAGTCACAATTACTACTCCCCACCACCACCAACAAAAGGTAATAGAACATCAGACAGTCACAATTACTACTGCCCACCACCAACAACAAAAGGTAATAGAACATTAGACAGTCACAGTTACTACTGCCCACCACCAACAAAAGGTAATAGAACATCAGACAGTCCAATTACTACTATCACCC